GACTGGGAAATCAGAAACTGGTAACTCCTGGTCTCTCTAAAAATAATCAAAAAATGCCATCCCTCAGACTCCCAACTGTTGACAGAACAGCAATTTATCCACGTTTTCAACTGATACTTTAACAACTAATCAGTAACATCAGCTTAGAGCTGATCTGTGTTGTGACAGCAAGAAAAACTGGTTGCTGATATGTGTACAATATGCCCTGCAAGTGTTTGTTCTTTATCATTTAAGATACAGTGCTTTACACTTATTAAAAAGGGAGGGTTGACTTTTTAATTTTAAGAAACATTAATGGAGGAGTTGTGCTATCACTGAAGCCAGTGGGAGTCACGAAGTTAATTAGGCTTGGATGAGATTGTATCCAGCCTGATTCATCCCATTTATTTTACTAGCAAAATTTGGTCCTGAAAGGAACTCTGAGCAAAAGACCTGAGAAAGCAGTCTGGGTTTTGTTTATGTGAATAGTGGTCAGACTCATCAATCACCTTTGCAATTCAAAAGGGCCACACACACACAGAGGGGAGGGTATGTCTTTTGCATTAAGGACAAATCAAGGATGCTGCCTAGGATTTTAAAGGACAGTGGTACAACATGACAGCCTGATGGAGCTGATGATATCAAGACAAATTTCCAGTGAGTCTGAATTCTTGATAATCAGCAAGGTGCAAAAGCTGACACAAAGTAGCTGGGAGCAGAGTGGAGCTGGGAAGGTGCAGAGAGGCTCTGGCTACAGCCCCATCCCAACTGAAATCTCAGCAGCAGCTGCTTTGCAAAATACTACTGCAGCAAAGAAGTAGCAGAAAAAAGAAAATCCATCTGCAATAAGCTGACCAGTCCCTTCCCACCAAGAGCTGCCAGTTGAGCTGTGATAAAAGGCCTCTGTCTCTGGTAGCATCAGGAACTGCCCCCTGTACATCCATGCAGACATCTTGAGCTGGAAAACCAACAGCTCACAAATCTCAATGTGGATCTTCAACTTTCCTGTTCATCACATCAGCTATGGCTGTTCCTGGAGGTTTTCTGTTATCATTGTCTCCCTGGGGAATGTTAATGGCTTTCCTTTGCTCCCTGGTCATTGAACAGACATCCCGTCCCAGCAGGAGCTCTCATGCCAAATCACAGATACTCAGTAAACTGCATTCTGCTTGCAGAAGCAATGTTTTGCAGGAATTATTAAAAGTTATAATATCTCTTATCTAATTAAGTCTTATATAGTTTTAGAACAGATTTCTCCACTACTTAAAAACATTCAAAATTCACACCACTAAGTTGTAGAGTCATCAGCACAATTTACCTGGAATTAGTGTTCCATTATACTTGTTCAGACAATGTCCATATTCCAAACACACATCCAAACCCCAAAGAAAGTAAAAAAGGCACATAAACATTAAATATCTGTAGAAACATAATCTGATATAAACAAGCAAACACACTGCTGCAACTATAAATTACAAAAAAGAAACATAGAAACTAAGCAAAAAATGCAAAAAGCAACTCTATTTATACATGTGCAAATCAACTTGCATATATGAAATAAATGAGGTTTTTATTGGCATTTTTAAACAGTGTGTATTTACCAACTTTACCTTTCAAAGGCAAGCCTTTTATGTTAATTTTAATAAATATGTAAATGCTTCTCTCAAGTTTTCTAATCCCGTAGGAACAAGATTTTTGAAAAAAACTAGGTCACATACAAAAATACAAAATTTTAAAACAAAGAATGTCTTGATATGAGAGATATGTTTAAAAGCTTGTAAAATGGTTTTATATTCAACTTTTGACATTTTTTTCCCATCAATCCCAGATCAATATATTCAAATGCAGTCATGCAAAAACCTGACTTGTGAGCAAAGGAAGCTGCAAGCTCTGCTGTCAGACTGGAAACAGCAGCACGGTCCCCTCAGTGATGTCCTTGCTTGAGTGCAAGAACTGCACTACACCTTTATTCTTCAATTAGGAAAGCAAATAGTTATGGAACTCGGACAGAAAGCTGCCCACCAGCCTGAAATGTGGGTATCTATTACAGGTTTTAGTAAATCAAACTTTTCACTAGTCCCACAGGGATTTGCCTGAGTGTTTATCTGCAGAAGGATTCACTAATTTCTCACTGCACGAGGGAACGTGTGACAGGGAGCGTGTGTGGAGCTCAGTGAGCAATGCTTGAAGAGTCTGTGCACTTACAGTTCCCATGATAGTCTCCTTTTACAGGAATATAGACTGAAGCTGTAGGTCTTGATTTGTTATTCTTCAAGATTAATGAGTCTTCTCTATAGGTTTCAGTGGAAATAAGATCAGAGACCACTGGCTCTGAAGCCAATTGGGATGCTCTGTTCCTGGCTGAAATGCAAGCGCCTTCGGTGCTGCTGTTTCATTTTTTGCCAGAATGCAGTAATTCAGTTCAGCAGACTAGAAACAGTGCTACAGCATGAAAAAACAGAGCTTATAATAAACTCTCCCTGCTGTGGTAAAGGCAAACATAGCATTGAGCAAAGCACTAGACCAGAAAATCTCATAATAACAAATACCAAACCCCTCCCATCTTTAAAGGTTTGGAATGCAGTATGTATTGCCATGTGGGCCTTACAGCAGGGGGAACCAAGCAAACATGTATTTACAGCAAAGAATTACACTACAGCAAAACCCACATGTTTTGCATCCTTTAAGTGCACACTCACAAATCTGTTTCCAGCATAATTCTGTGATATCCCAGTCCAAAATCAATTCCTGCCCGAGAAGCATCAGGCTGAACTGGTGAAGACAAATCCTGCTGTTGCCTTTACTTTCAGCACCAGCTGGAAGTTCATACACTGTGATAGGCAGGATTTTCTAGTTGCACAAATATGCACAGGTCTGCAGGGGATATTTTATATAAATACAGAATGAGCTGTTGTGCCTGCTCAGACTCATTTCCAATTGTCCTCCCTCAGCTTTTCCAGGGCAGTGGAACTATGGTAAACTACATTTGTGCTGACTGAAGCACATGCTGAGCTATGGCAAAGGAGTGATTTTCATACTGGTTTGCATTTGTTTTCTTTTCATACAAAAATTTTGCCTCCCATTAGAAAACCCAGCTATTCTGTTTCTGAAAAATTAATCTAAAATACAGCAGATTTTCACATCATCAAACCCAGATCCTGGTGACCCTGATGTTCAACAGCTCCCACAGGCTCTTTCTGGATACTCAACAACCTCCTGTGTTGTGCAGAGCGATGTTATGGAGTGTTACAGGGTAACACTGTCAGGAGTGTTGATGCAGGAAACAAAATGCTTGAAAAGGCTCATTCACTGCTTTTACATTGAAGTTAAATTGTAGACTGCTCTGGAGGATTTATCCACAGTGCAACAGCATCTCCCTTGCCTGGTCTTTGGTAGGTGACCACGTCCATCAATAATCCCACACAGATAATGAACACTGCTTGCAAGAAAAATCTGAACCAAGTAGATATGTTCAAGAAAGGAAAATGGAAAGCATCTATGCCTTTCATTACTACCCAGTAATCTTTATGAAAAAAAAATTAAAATCTGTACTGATTTGAGGTTTTATTCCAGCATGGTGAGAGCATGTCCAAATTGCAAACCTACAGACTCTGATTGCAGATTTGTTTCTCCCTAATCTTAACATGAAACTTCCTGACTACAAATGGTGCTGTCAAGCATGTCACCTTCTGCTGAAAATAACAAAAATTACCTCTGTAAAAAGAAGGCAGTTTAACTTGCTTCTCTCAAAAAAAACCCAACCAGCTTTGATTTAAATTTTGAACTTAAAAATTTTCTTTTAAATTTGCAAATGGTGTGCCTGATAAAAAGGGAAGAAGAAACAAGCAACCCCTTAAAACCAGAAAAACAATCAAAGAACCTCAGAGGATTGATTATTTTCTTTTCACTTTTTTTATCTCCTCTAACTTGTTCTCCAGAAAAAAATTTCTCTTTAAAAACCTAGCTAGTTGCGAAGACATTTTACATTTCTACCATACAATAATTATAGTTAGCTTAATTTAACCTTTCTATGTCATTCAGCAACACTTTAACTACTGGAAGCCGTAGCAAACTGAGACTCTAATGATAATATTGCTCCAATGATGCTGAATACTTTTTGCTTCACACAGTATTTCTAGCAGACAGACTACAACAGAAGCGTGGGCAAATTCCAAGAATTACTCTCTAAATGGGACCAGTAAACTGTGATGAGTCCATTCCCAAATGGTTTTGTGTTTTTGTAGCTTTTCCACACTGAAGAATGCCACAACCCCAATGAGCTGTGCAGTCACCAAGATGTGTCACATGCTGGCAACTGCCTGTTTGCTCATTTGTGACACTCTGCTTAGGCTGCTCTGGTGCAGCAGCTGTGATGCAGACAATACCTTTTTGTATACAAAGATTTAATTTTAAAAAAAAAGAAAAAAAACCAAAACTGGGCCCAAATAACCCAATAGCAGAGTACAGAGCTCTCTCATTATTCCAAGTTCTTGTGAAGTAAACTACTTTGTAGCCATTCAAGCCAAAGCTGTACCCAAACAGTGCACCTTGAATAAAATGTTAGTCCTCCTTCCCCAGCATCCCCTCCTTCAAGCACACTTTTTTCAATTTTCTACTGGAATGAAGTTGAGATCCTTTAGCTAACCATGATGGGGGATGTCCTAACTCGTTAAAAAAATAGAAAGCACTTCACCCAAAACACAAAAACAGAAGTTTGATGGGTCTGGAAATTTTCTACAAACTATTCTGTGCAGTCATCTTCAACCACTGTCGAACATGAGACTCGTTTCTCTTCGCAAACAGCTGAAGGAATCCGAAGAGTGACACTGCAAACGTCCTTACAGGAAGAAAAGATCAGTTATAGCTGTTTATTATGAATCCCTCCTCTCTTAGTAGATAATTCTGCCCAGCAATGATAGCTCTGCCTGCAGTGGAAAACCTGGACCAAAGTGCAGGGAGCACTCAGGAACTCCTCTCCAAACTACTCACGTTGTCCCCAGCTGGGAGCAGCCCTGCTGCTGCTATAGGCAGTCCTTGCACAGTGCAACCTGCCCCTTGATGTAGTCCCTGCAGGGGCAGATCCTTCTGTGGGCAGGGTGGGAGCCAGCACAGCTGAACAGTAGCAGGTCACCCTGGAAAACACAGTGCTTCCTCCTTCCATCAAAAGAGGGGACCAGGATATCATTGGCAGACTCCATGGTGAGACATTCGATATTATGCCTAAAAAGCAAAGCATGTGATCCATATCACACCTGAGTTTCCAGGAGTTTGGCACAGTTTTCATTCTTCCTCACTAAAAACAACAAACCCCACTCTTTTAGATCCTAAATCAAGTGCATTTACAAGTGTAGCTTTCCAGAGCATGACTTTTCTGCTGTACAGATTCTCTCTGCAGAGGGCAGTGCAGCCTTTACAGCTTTACTATTTCCTAAAGATTAATAAAACAAGTTAAAGAGAAGAAAAAAAAAAAATGCTCCTGACTGTTCCCCAAAACCTAATATTTAAATACACTATGGATTTTCAGTAGGACAGGATCAAAGAATCTGAACTCAGGGCATACTGTCTTTGATTTCAGGAAGTCTCTTCCCCAAGGCAGCCCCACAGAGCCAGGCAGGCCTGGGCAGCTCGAGGGGGTGAGCTGGACTGTGAGGATGAGGGATGCTGCTCCTGGGCTACAGGGAACAGGGCCTGCAGCTCCCAGGAACCAGCCAGCAGGAAAATGAAAAATGCCAGTTGCCATTTTCTGACCACAAAGCTTAAGCACCAGGCTAGCAATTCCAGAGCCTTGTTTTTCACTTATGCTGGAAACATTGGTAACTTTCAGCATTTAACAGACCTTTTTTTCCACAGGATTATGATTTTGTCTAGACAGCTAGAAAAGAAAGTTTTTATATGAGCTGCTTCTGTACTTCACTGGAAATTATAACTTTTCAAAGAAAATACAAACCCCAAAATCTTCTGCAATGTAATTTAGAAAAAAGTGGGCATAGAAAACCTGGGAAGCAGATTCCCTAGCAGCCGTTTGTGGGGGCCTGGTTTTGAGGACTTTGTTTTCATTCTGAAAGGAACACAGACACATTTCCAAAGAGACAGCACCCAAAAGCAGCACTCCTTTCCTTAATGCATAGCTGGTGAGTTTTACACATCTGCACCCACACCTCCAATGTACCAGAGTTCACAATTCTCTACCCAGGACAATAGTGACAGAAGGTTTTTGGGCCCCTGTGCTCCTGGCAGGGCTCTCAGCAGCCACCACTACCACACACAAAGCACTGCCAGGCCCTCACTCACAGCTTGCTGCAGCCAGAGCTGCTCTCCCCACCTTCCCTTCTCACAGAACTTGGGCTTTAAATTCCAAGTGTGGCAAAAACCAGTGCAATAGAGACCAGACAACATATCTGTGCTATAAACACTTACCTAAGCAGAGCTTTGTCCTTGTTGAGATGCTGGAAGAAGGAAGGCTCACAGATGAGCTGGCTTTCCTGACAGACTTGCTTACAGGATTTTCCAGGTTCAGCAATTTTTACTTGAAGGGCACTTAATGGGGGCCACATCACCTGCCCATGACAGAAATCCTGCAGTGACAGATCATGTTTTGTTATGATGTGTTCAGACAACATTTCACAATTCTCAGACTGTATTTTAACATTTGGCAACTCTCGCCAAAGGGTGATCAAATAATTTGGGCCTGGTCCATCATGGTTTGCTTTCTCTGAACCAAACCAAAACTGGTGTGAATTGATGCCTCACTGTGACCCAAAGCCCACAAATTCATTTACCAGTTCTCAATATCAGCTTGAGCTTTTTTGTTCCATTTTGATTTCCTCTGCTGAAGAAGGAGGTTTTCATACTTCCAGGTCTCACCACAAATGTAATGTTATACAGTCACGAATCGCAAAATACCATGAGCTGGAAGGGACTGCAAGTTTCAAGGTGAGACCAAAGGAGGTGTCATCCTTCATCTGTCTTTTCTTGCTCTTGGGTGAATGTTCTCACTCACTTTGCCAAGCTCTGGGGCTCAGCTGACCCTCTGCTGAGCTAAGTCAGTTTTCTGACCTCACAGAGTCCTGCCCCAAACATTTTCTGCTGGGTTATCAAGTTCTCTGCTTCGCCACATCTTTCAAAGTCAGCGTGTCTGTTCCATCAGCCCTCATCCAACAGCTCCCAGATTTGCAGCAGGGAATCCCTGCTGCTTTGGCTGTGGTTGCCTGGCTGCTCCTTTGATGCCAGTGCCAAAACTGAAGCAATCCCTCCCTCTGGTTCCCAGCCTCTGCTGCTGCCTTGCAGAGCAGCCACAACTGTGTGTGGGTTCAGCCACAGAGCAAAGAGGATCAGGGGATGGGCTCAGCAGATGGCAGGGATGCACCCAACAGGCACACTGGGCTGCTGGCAGGGGCAGGGCACGGGCAGGATGGAGCAGCCTGGAGACAAAGCTGGTTTAACCCAGCTGAAGGAGGCACTGCTGGGTGTGCAGCCACAGCTCACAGCAGCTCTCTTACCTCAGACTGTAAAGGCTTTCAGCCCAGGTGTTGGAGCTGAAGATTTGGGGAGTTCACTAAACCTTCCTTGTGAACATTGTCCTCCTGACCCTGAGCCAAGGCCCAGAAGGGGAACCCTGGAGACCTCCCTTAAATGCCACCGTTTCACTGTCCATAGAGTGAGTAGGGGCATCTGGCCCCATCTCTTCACACTCACACATCCCCTGAAGACCCCACAGTCATGGTCAAGGCACACAACCACTGAACCAGACCAGCTCTATTCCAGCATCTTTGCTCCCATGTCAAGCTTGTACTGCTTTCTCTGTTCTTCCTGCCTCCACCACAAACTCGTCAAAATAAGATCTCAGTCTTTATTTTTGCTTCTTGTTTTTGGTTCATCTGACACGTTAATTAGGCAAAGTGCTAAGCACATGCAGCTAAAAATTGTGCTTGAACATCCTGGGAGCTGTGAAACACCACCAGCTTTTGACAATTAGTCAAAGCAATGAACAAAATTACAATATTCTGTGGATTTCTGAGAAGCATCAGGGAGGGCTTAGCCCTCGGGGGAGGGCCAGAAGAAGAGAAGGTTTAGCCACAGTTGCCATCTCTTGATTGTCTCTTTGTCTTCCTTACACTGAGCTCCATTTCTTCCTGATTGACAAAAGCTCCCAATTATAGCTAACTTAGGTAGAAGAATCAAAACCAGCAGTGATACTTTTACAGGTTTTGTCATCAATACAGCAGCAAAAAGCTTAAAGTGTTTATTGGCAGTAAAGTGGGAATAGCTAGGCTGTGTTCACTGCCCTTCTGACCTAGAGCTGTGCTATCCTTTAGGACTGTCTTGAATAGCACCCACCTTCAGAAATACAAGTACAGACACATGTCCAGTGCCCTTGAAAGAAATCCTGGCAGTTAAATGACATATCAGAGATAAAGGTTATTCCTATCTCTCTTCTGCAGCAGCCAGAACAAAAGGCAGATCTGGCTACTGCAACAGATCTGGCCTGGGCAGAAGTCCAAGCAGACAATTTCTAGAAATCAGGATCCCATGTAAATCTCTGCAGTTTATTATTCCAACTCAACATCTTCTGCTGCTCTCAGCTGGCAGTAATGCACAGGGACCAAAAGTTCCTTAAGTAACTGGGCTCCAAACCATTTAAATCTTTATTGATTGAAACTAAATACTTGAAAAATCTGCCCAGAGGCTGCAATTCTACCAAAAAGTACCTCTCTATTTGAGTGATCCTTCATGATCCAAAGCTTTTATGTGTGTACACAGCTAGGGAAGTCACATCCACACTGAAAAATTGCTTTGCCTTTCTGCTTTCATATAATGCCAAGGTCTGCACAGCTACTATTTCTACTTGGACAGCAGCAACACTGAGAAGCTTTAAAATGGAGATGTTCCTTCCTTTCCAACATAACCCAAGAGTCATCCACAACAAAAGTTCATACCTGTCTTTCAATAAAGGCATTCATCCTCTGAAGCATTCCCTCACAGGTAAATTCATAGGGCAAATAAGGGTCAATCTGTGGAGACAGTGTGTTAAGGTTAGAGGGGTTTTTGTTTCAATCAACTTTGTGGTGTACTCTGAGGCAGCAGCTTCTGCTCCAAATACTCCATTATAGCTTGAGTAGCAAGAAAAAGTACTAATAGACTCATTAAAAAATAGTAATTTTACAAAAACATCAGCAGTTTTAGGTGATTTTTCTCATTTTTAAAAGCAATAAGAATTACTCCATGACTATCTTTATGGAAACTCAGGATACCCTGCAAAGTGGCAGATACAAGGCTTGTCTGAGCCCCTCTGGGATTCCAGAGCTCCTGTTTTAACTAAGTTTCAGTTCTGAAGTTGAAGTGACAAAACAGAATGTGGTACCTTTGAAAATGCCTTCATACTCTTCCCCCCCTTGAAGGGCCCTCATTACCATTCCACACTGTAAGTGCCAAGCACTTCTGTGGGAATCTCAAGGCTACAAACTCAGAGTTGAGCAGTGCAGAGTCTGCAATGCTCTAAGAATAAACAATGAAACTTCCTCACTGAATGCACAGAAAATACAGATTGCTGTATAATTCACATGTGAAATTCTCATTTCTATACAAATTCACCCACTCCTTCTTTTCAAGTAAGAACCTGACATATCCAGTTCTAAAACATGAGAATTTCGATACCATAGATATGTAATAACCCTTTTTTCTTCAATATCCTACCAAAATGCAGCACTCATTAGACTAACATTAGGAAGAACTGTATGTGCAGCACACACTACACCCTCAAGTGCTGATAGCAAACTGAAGACACATTTCTTACCTTTTGATTCAAAATTGATTTCACAGCCTTCTCCACCTCAGAAAGATCATTGATATCCACAGTCCACACATGGGGCTTCCCAATGTAAACTTCAGCATAAGGATGCTGAGATGTCAACTGAAAGAGGAAATTATATTGATAAAAATGAATGTGTAAAGATATCCTTGCCTCTCACTCTCTCAATCAGACTTTTTGGATGAAATGCACTAGGATAGTGCAAAAATTCAGTTAGAGCACAACAGTCAGCATCATTCCTTCTGAGTTGCTTTTCAGATTTTCTCTTTAAATTTAGAGAGTGAATTTAGTTGGAAAACTGAAAATCAGGTAACACAGATCACAAGTAAGATACGTGCACCTCTATTTTGTGGCTTCAATCCTCACAAAGACCCACAGAAGATTTGATGTTTACTGAAATTACTTGCACCACGACCCTGCTTCCCCACAGCTCATTCACAGAGCCACCCTCCTTCTTCACAACCTCTCTGCCACAAGTCCTGCTTAGACCTGCATGGCTGGCTCCCAGAGATGTCATCCTCACCCTGCATCCTTCCAATTTCAAACATTTCCAGAGTTCTGTGAGCAAAATTGAAGAAAGAATAATTTTTATAACAAAGGATGAATTCTGACTCTCATGACTGAGAGCAGAAGAGTAATGTGACCTCACCAAGAGTGACAACCAATATTTTGCTCACCACTTTGTCAGAAAACAGTATCAATGAATACCCAAGAAGGTAACTAAGAAAAGCTGTATCAGAGTTGCTTTCAGAACTAGGACAGATCAATAAGTATTTTTTGTGACCGGTCACTGAGGAGTGAGAACATGAACACACAAAGGGGAGCAAAAGCTACAGAAGAGAGAAGTGGTTCACACCAGCTCAGAAGAACTCTGCTTTTTCAATAAATACCAAAAAACCCCCACATGATGGGCTGTTTGTAGGCAATGTTTACACAGCTGCCTCTTTATGCTGTCCTTATGATAAAAAGGCATTGCAGAAGATCTGAAGCAGGAAGCAGTGTCTGTTGGGAAGAAGCTTCTCCTGCACTAGGAGATCACTGTACTTGATCTATTCCTCAAGTGAATGCAAGAAACTGTTGCATTTACTATTAAAAATATTAAAAAACCCATTAGAAAAACAGCCATTGCATTTTGCTTGTGGAGACTAGTAACTTGTAAAGGTTACTTTACAAAACCACTTAACATAGCCTTTATCTTCAAATTCTTGTATGGATAATCATGGCACAGAACTAAACAAGCTCTTTTTGTTCTTCTTTAGCATTTGAAGAATGTTGAGAAGCATTTAAGGGCTTTCTTAATCCCAAAGAACCAGCACATGGATTATTGGCAATCAGATCTAAATGCAGTTGTGAACACCAGTCAGAGAAAAGGTCACTCTCAGGAAAGGTCAGCAGGGCATGTGAAGGCAGAAATATTCCTGATGGATATACATGATGTGCTTTGGACTAGAGCAGTCAGTAGGGAATATTTTTCTGTACAAGTCAGGTACACAGCATTTCTGTTAGTGGTGACACATGGCATCAGGATTTATCATGGCATTCCAAGCCCTGAAATTCCTATGAAGCACTCAGATGGGTTTGGATTATTTACTGAGCCTGACCAGTTATGGTGTTTGGGCACAGAATAACTGGAAATGAGACAAAAACTCACAGAAGAAAAGTCTGAAAGGTGTCAAGCCCAAGGAGAAAGTTAAAATGGGCTTTTATTCCCTTATTGCTTTCTCCTTTGTTAGCAACACAGACTGAGAGAAGGGGCAAGCCTCAGCTTGTACAGGACATGAATTCAGTGTGTAACAAGAAAGGCAATTACAGCTGTGGATCATGAAAGTATAAGGAATTTATCTTCCTGATTGAAAATGGGAAACTGTCTTTTGCTTATCAACCAGCTGGTGCTGCTCAGGACACAGTTTATATGGCCAAAGCATAACCTGTATTAGGAAGTGTGGCTGTGCAAGGTTCTCATCATCTGCATGTCACCTGAGAGCTTTCCTTTGATGTAAATACATAAAGAATAAATGCACATACACCTGTGAGCAAGCCATGGCCACACACATGAGTGCTGATGTCAGAAATGGCTCTGTGACTATTAAATGTTTACAAGTATAGGCTGAATTTTACCTACACTGAATAAAAGAAAAATATTCCAAAGTCAGTGCCAGGGTGAGGAGTTAGTTTACTTAGCTTCAGTCCTCTCTCACTAAACACAGTGACTGTTTCGAAAGCTTGGAGTTTGGTTTTCCTGTTTTCTTCAAAAGTCAGTTCTCCAAAAGTCTTCAGCATTTAACCACAAACACGGTGGGTGACCATGAATACCTTAACTCAACAGTGCCTTGAACAGGTCTTTTCTGAAGGAAAAAACCAAAACCCAAAACACACACAAATGCCCTTTTCATAATTTACTTAAATACCTATTTGCTTCCTGCACAGTACACTGCAATGTCTGTTTCTTCAACAAAATAAAAACACTTTCAAATGATGTACCAAAATAACATGATCTGTTCCTGGGCAGAACATCAGATTTTCAAGTGAAACTTCAGTTTATGATGTCTCAATAAGAAGTAGCAGAATGTACCTATAAGCAAATCTAGAAATAAAGCTTGAAGTGTGCTAACAACATCATTTTAATTCTCTTATAATAAGAAGAAATGATATTCCCATCAATGACTAAAGAAAAAAGCAGTTGCACATCTCTGGTAATAAACCTTGAATGCTAATGCAATTTCTCCTACACTCTGTTACTAAAAGGAAACCCACAAGCATTTTCAATAAAAAATTATCAAGATTGATAGAGCTTACCTCTCGGAGTGTAGGTTTGCCTTTGAAAAAATCTGTATTTTTGCTACTTTTTGGTGGGTTAAATCTTAAATTTAGGAAAGCACATCCATTGGCAATAGCCTCCAAGGGAGCTGGCCCTTCATATGGAAATCCAAGACCAACAAACAGCTGAAAAACACAAAACAAGCGATATTTTAATTCTTGTTATTCACAAAAAAAGCTAAGAGCTAGCTTAAAAGAAATAAAACCCCACTCTAAATGTACCAGCCTGAAGAAAATGCAATGCTAAGAAGAAAATGGGAGAAATTCAACAGTTCACCACCTGCCACCCAAGCAGTAATGGATTGTCCTGTAAAACACATTTGACAATCATCATCTGTAACGAGCTGAGGTGGTTCTCCATGGAGCTGAGGCAACAACAGACCCTTTTAGGGCTTTCTTTGGGAAGAGGAAGAATTGGTGGTTTAGCTGGTGTTGAAGTGGAGCTGCTGGGGCTTTCCTACAGGTACAGGTTCTAAGGCAGCAATCTCCAGGAACAGCTGCACCAGTGCTCTCCCAAAACAGCCAAGCCATTGGCTTTGCCAAAAGGAACATGCTCCTGGCACACTAATTAAGCCTCCTAATTAAAACAGTAGGTGGCAGCAAACAGCAGCTCACGACACAGCCAGAGCCCACAGGGGCTTCAGAGGGTTCAACGCCTCCAAGGGAAACCAGAGCAAAAATCCATCCCAAAGCTTTTCCTCCCCAGCTGAGATTCCAGGTGCTCTAGAAGAGGCACTGCTCTGCTCCAGTGAAAACACATGCAATGTTATTTTGGAGTTGTCTGAAAAAATCTTGACCCCTTTCCTGGCTTAAACATAATGCAAGCCCCTGAATTAAATATAGGATTTTTCATCTTCATTTGAATGAAGCTGGAGCAGCAATTTCTCAGTGCTACTGCATAACAATGTGTGTATATATATGTGTGTATATATATATATAGATACACTGCTTTTCTCAGGAAAATAAAGTACAACCTTCATAACTATGAGAGTCATGCAATCAGGACACACATTTCCATAGGTCAAGGTATACTATTCTTCATTAAATCTTCTGCAACATGGAAATGAATCCCAGTAACAGAACATTCACAGCTGGAGGCTCTTCCTAGGAGCTGATCCTAACATTGATGAATAAACCTGTAGTCAGCTCTGTCATTCACACGCATTGCAATATCAATCCTCCCAAACCCATGGCAACAACAGTATAAATTCAGAGCTGGCTCGTTTTAGAAAAGCAAGTTAACACTTCTCATCATAGCTGAGGACATACAATTTTCACTGCATGGAGCTGAATATTGTAATTTCAGTTCTCAATATTCAGGTTAAAGAAGTTGCCTACTTGCAGAAAGTTTCTCAACTCTCTCACAGATTTAAATCTTACAGAACCTCTCCAGTGGCTGATAACAAAAAGATCCAGAAGCAATTTCTACTGAAGACATATTATACGAATTCTAGTTTTATATATGGCATAAAATGTACCACCTTTCATTCAGAGAAATGCATACCACATAAAATCTCAAAAGAGGCTGAATTTCCAAAAAGATAATCTCTTGAAAACAATGAATTAAGGACATGAAACCATTTCATGCAATCTGCAATAAAATATTATTTATTCAAACTACTCCTTAGTTCAGGCAGAAAACCAGCTGAGAACCAGCAATTAAACCTATCTGAAATATCAATTCTCCTATGATCCTGTGTTTGTCTGTTATGTAGGGAATGCTGGGTTGTTTGCTTAGTTTTGCACTTTTTTAATAAACTGCTGCTGTGCACTGCTGAGTTCTGTGTCTGACTGGTCCATTTATTTGGGAGGAAGCTCCATGGGAAAAGAAACATGAGTTTATGTTTTGACAGCACAGAGTGCACTGGCATCACTTAATCTATAATAAATAGCTTACCACCTGTTTCCCATCCATTTTCCAGCCTCACCTCTAAGCAGCACTGTTCCTTTGAAGGAGGAAAGAAGGATGTGTCTGATCCCTAGAACAGGGTGTGTGTGTGTGTGTGCTGCCTGGTGGCCTGAGCTTGCAGCCTCTCAAATCCTCCTTTCAGCTCTTCTATCACCCTCCAGCACATCATCAGCAAACCAGCTGAAATTCCCAAACTCAATCCAGAGCCTTCTCCAGAAAACTGCCCCTTATAATGTGTCCTTGCCCACGGCAGGGTGTGGAACTAGATGATTTTTAAGGTTCCTTTCATCCCAAACCACTCTGTGAGTCTCTATGATTAATTTTCTTGGGTTAGGGAATCATGATTTTTGTCTGGTATAAAGAGCAAAACAGAAATATTCTACATGCCTCAATAAAGTCACATTCATTATGATTAAAAGAGCAAGTATTAGAGAACACAGGCCTTTTCTGTAATTCACAATGCTCTCATTTGCTAATCCTTTGAATTACATGCACCTTGTTATTTCCAGAAAGGCTAAAACAATCTGTCAAGGTACTTCCAAAGAGTATGCAGCAAATACTGCAAGTCACTAACTAAAAAAAAGGAAAAAAGGAGAAAAAACAGTCAACCATTTTCAGGTAGCAGTGAAGCAAACATCCATCCTCAGTACAGATGAGGCTGTGGGGAAGACAAGGCTCTGTCCCACAGAGTGAAGGTTTACACCAGACTGTGCTTGCCCTAGTTTGTGATGTAGCTGTACACTGCTGCCTCTAACACTGGAGGTGCTGACAGTGGCTCCTTAAGGTGATTTCTCATCAGATGTAGGTCTGGTAACCCAGTCCACCATGGGGAGGCACCTGCACCCTAGGGATGAAGATCCATATTGCAAAACTTCAAATGTGAGTGTCTTGGTAACACTACATGTGGCAAAAAATTTTAGTCCTGATCTCACTCTGCTAGCTGCAGCAGAACTGCTATGCAGAGGAGAATTGCTTTATGCTTTATTGGTGATTAGTGCTTGGAAAAAATTCATATTCTGTTTGTGAGTGTTTTTCTCACCTTTCCAACGATTCTGAAAGCAAAAGCCATGATTTTTCCTGGAGAGCTTTAAGTGGGCACATGGCACAGCCAGCTCTGCATGCTGACACCCCACAGAATGTGGTGATTGCCAGGAGGAAGTTACAATGTAAAAGCCTATCTAAAAGAGATAATTGCCAACAAATACAGAAGTAGAATGATCATCGAAACAGCAGTATGGCATTGAGGTTTTTTTAGTCTATTCTTTTTAGCAAGGTCTTCTGCCCCAGTGTGTCTGTGCCTGTAAGTCTGCACAGACCAGATTTGCATCTGCAACGTCACTGGCCCAACTTTACTCAAGTTGAAATCTTTAATAGTTTGGTTTTCATAACAAAGACTCCTCAGGAACCTTTTCCACCTTTGTAATGAACTGATCCTCTGGTTTGGAATGGCAGACTTTTGAGCTGGTCACCCAGCATCACATCAGCCAAGACACCCCTCTTCTTGCTGTAATGTAAATGGTGCTCTCACAGTGCAGTAGTTTTAAGTAGAGACATCTCTGACAAAAAGTGACTCACAACCCCTCATGAAAAGCAAACTCCCTCGTGGGTTTGTTTGTTTTTTGGGTGGAGTTTACAGCACCACATCAGACTACTATTAAAATAAGTACTTAAACAGTTTTCCTAAATTATAGCCAAAAGTATAAAATAAGGAGTGAATGCTTTACTTCACTGACTGTAATTATGACTAGCTGAATAGTTAAGAAAAAATTTCATATTCCAGAGACTAAATGCCGTAGTTTCATGCACAGGAGTGTTTATCTTCTCCTCTCTCCTTTCTAACATTACTGCACTTTATTTAATTTATTCTGTCAGGTTGGTAGGTTTATCACCACTTTAATATGCCTCCTTACTGAACTTATACAGTCTCTTCTGAACTCCAGAAAGAGGAGTATAGCAAAGGTTAACTATCTTGCTATATTCATCTCATCAACACAAAATACCTCCTGCAAAAGTCAATCCTTTTGTGATTCAAACCAGTTGAGAATAAAATAACTAGGTAAATATCTTTTCAGCTGATTTTATGAAGTGTGTGGAAGTAAATATATATTCCTTCATAAAAAGCAATATGAAAACAAAGTCTGTTTGCCTGTGTGTGTCTAAGCAGGGTGTTGCTCCTACTTTTATTAATCCCCATACAGAAATCACAAAACCCACTTGGTAAAAGAATTTGAACTCTGAAAAATTCAAAGTGACTTGAAGGAAAAAGTTGCATCTAAAACTTTCTCAAAAGGAGAAATACTTCTCAAGAACACTGGTTCCTCCAAGAGAGCCTGGTCCAAGTCCCCCAGCTGCCCACTTGGCCAGGAGCCCTGTGAGTGGCAGGAAGGCTGCCAGCTCGCCTACCCCATTCTCCCCCGACGTGATGAATGGCTTCACATCTTCTCATTAGGAGCTGCAGACATGGCTCGTTTTTGTCATGCTCTACACAGCTGAAGCAGCCATGGTGAATGTCAAACAGCCCCTCCTGCCTGCACAACTCGCTCCCTCTGCAATGTGCTGGTTAACAGCACACACAGAACCAAACGGCAGCTGCACACTGCCCGAATAACTGTGTCCTACCAGTACTGCAGGGACCAAAGACATTTTGGGAATGCTAAGTTCTGATTAAAAATCACAGGACTGAGCCTGTCACCTACTGGTATTTTGCTGTCTAAGGACAAAGTGAAGCAGTGCAGCATAAGCTGACACTTCTGACTAGGCTGAACCATGTGATTTGTTAAATTATTATTTAGCTCTCCCCGAACTAGAACATTTGTCAGCTGACCTAACAAAAACCTGCTAACACAGTGCTGAAATCACAACCAATGACAGACAATTCTTGCCCACAGTCTCAAAGCATGTGAAAGTTTCTGGCAGTTTAAGGACAAAGGTTGCTGTCTCCCCACGATGCTCCAGACAAGCATTGCACCCACACATGTTCCCAGCCTGGAGTTACAGCCCTGATTATTCACACACTGACAGCACATGGATAGTCTGGTGACAAAGCCCCATAACTAAATTCATTAGGGGACTCTGGCCATGTTGCCTAGTGAATAAAGTGATTATGATTAAAACGTGTCCTTGAACATCACTGCATGCATGTGCACACACACACACCTCCTCCAGGCATAGAGCTCCTATTCAAGTCAGCTTGGTTTTTGTAAGAAAACTGGACTTATTTTAGCAATTCAATCCATGATCCATCTGACATAAACACAACTGACCCTCACAGGCAGCAGATGGCCACTGGTGACAGGTAAGCAGTGATTTGTACTAAGCTGTGTTCAAGTATTGCCTTTAAAAGGGTATCGAAATCTGGACCTGTGAATGTACAGGCAGCAAAAAGACTTGGAGCAAGTGTGTCTGTTGATCAACACTGACAGGTAACCATATGCTGAGGCAGAACAGCCAGAGTACCTATGAGACACTAAACATCACCCAGCCAAAAAAAACCCCAAAACAACCACCCACCCCAATCCCCCTCCACGTGAAATGTCCAAACAAATTAACAGGGAGATCTCAGTTTCCACTTTGAATCCCAGGATGCTGCTGTTTTACTTTTTCTGTTCAATTAGATATATTGGAACTGTATTAAACAGGAATAATCAGCAAAATGCATGATGCAATAAGCCATATTTAATTTCATTTCATTGCAAAATCTGAAATACATTGCACTGGCATTTCCCTGACAATACTTATGTATTAGGAGAAGCAGATGGACTATTAATGGTTTATCATCATTGCAAAGTTTTGTTAGCCTGGCTGTATCCTAAATATATAATTTCCTTAAATGGAAAATAGATTTGTCATTTGCAAACCTTCTAAAAAAAGTTCAGAAAAGGCATATAAAAATACTGCTTGCAGACATAATTTTTAAAACTGATTTCCTGATGCAGGGTTCTGAAACACACCAATGATTTTCTCAGTGCCATCTACTAAGAAATGCAGCAAATTCTGAAAAGGATTTTCCCCAATGTTATGAAGGAAAAAACCAACCACAACTAATGCACAACAAGAGTCTAAAATGCTCTAGGACTCTGACAACGGTACAGCACAGATCCATGCTTTTTACCAAATACTTTTTGTGAAAAATAAGCAATTTACTGTCTCAGAGCACTTCACAATACCAACAGTCTCTTCTATCTGATGCTGCAATCACTGCTCAAAATCTGAGTGGAAATAGACTGCTACCTCCTGTGTCACAAAATCCATACAACTAAATTGCATAACATGTAGGTATCAACTAGAATTTGTCCTAAATTGAATGTGTCTTTACATTGCATCTTAGAGCACAGCAAATATAACCAATAAACTACATGAGATATTTGGTTAAGACTGAAAAACAAGCTTTTTAATGTGATACGTGCAAGATGGCTGATAAAAAATTAGAGGAAGGCTCAGTTAAACAGAACTATTATTATGAACTGACATTTGTATAGGGACTTCAGTAATTCTTACAGGAAGTCCATTTGCTTATTTTACTATTTCAGTGAATAGAACACACTTTTTTTAGAGGTAGTCACTGTTCATGCCTGGGGTTATTACAAGGTCAATATTCTTCCCACATTATTATTAACACAGGAATTTCATACTCCACACAGGCAAAAGCTGTGTAATCTCAGATTATCTATGACGAAAGCAAATGTTGACTTTTTAATGTGCAACATTATGTGTATCTGCAGGCACCAAGCACATAAACACAGTGGTTGCCTTTAAAAACTCATAATTTACCAACAGCTGTCACACAGAGATGTCAAATTACCATCATTTTCCCAGTACTTTAAAAAGGAGATCTCTGCAGTTGTGTGGAAAACCTAAGAGGTACTTGCTTTTCTCTTTTCTTTTTTTTTTTCTTTTTAAGAGATTTTTCTGTGGAAGTGCACAGCAAGAAACTATCAACAGTGGTACACTTCCACAGATTTTGCTAATTTTAAACACACAACCCCCTTCTTTCAACAACTTGAAGTTAAACATCCTATTTAAATGCAATCTACTGAAGTGTTTTATTGCTGCAAAGTGCCACAAAGATTATGTGAAGGGCAGAGAATCCCGACAGAACTGTGGGGACAAAAGTTTATTTCATTTATTTATTTTTATCCTGTCCCTTATCTTGAGTTCTCTTGACTCTGGAGCCACAGGCAAAGCCCATCACAGAAAGCCACGCTGCTGTGCTCACTGTGTGTGCACAGCTGAAGCAGGGGAAGGACACGAATGGCAAAGCAAGTGCAGCTTTGCTTTTCTCCCTGAGAGAGCAGGGTCACTCTGGGTTAAAGTCACCGGGAGGGCAGAGCCAGCGTGTGCCTGTGCAGCTTTTGGATGTTACCTAACTTTGACCTCAGGGATGTAAAACAGAGCACATTCTCAGCTGATAATCTCCTTGGGCTGAATATCACATTCAAGAAAATGAAAAATGCATTTATCCCTGTTTCTCAAGCTGGTTGTTAAATGGGACTGTAGGTTGTCATCCCAATTTTCTAATATGAGCTGTCAATCCACCAAACACAGACATTATGGAAAATGTATTCTTGGCACACAAAACACAACTTAAGCTCCTTTACACATGATAATTTTTTTCCAGTGCTTTTAAATTTGGAGCTTATTCATAGGAGGTGAAATGCATGCACTTTAGACACCCTCTATTTGTAGATATTTTTTGCCACCACTCCTGCTTAACAAACTTACTTTGGTTTCCCTCAGTAGAAACTGCAAATCCCTCCCGCTGAGTATTCCATGGTTCTTGACATAGCCAGGAATGTACATGGTGCTTGTCCCATGAACAGTCCCATGGACCTCCATGTAGGTGTGGATGACATCCAGATAAGCCTTCTTATCCTGTAATGGCAAGGAAGAAATATTTTCAGTTGTTACAAATTTGAAGCAGCAATATTTAATCAGAGCTGTTTTTTTATCTCCTGTACCACAAAAGCCAGGGAAAGAAGAATTTCACTCATTCCTATTTGATTGCTATAATGTTTGAACTTTCATTACATTATTAATTTGGTTTTCTACTAAACTGGAAGAAAACTGTAGCTTTTTCTCTCATAGTTGAGGCATAAAGAACTCAATATAAAAGTCCTCTTAATTTCTAATTGGACAAAAACCAGAATGCCACCAGACAGCTGCAATCTCAGCATGCCGAAACAATACCTGGCCTAAAAATACTAAAAACTCATTTTGAAATATCAGATTTTCCCTGTTTTGGTCGAAGATGCAAAATAATTATCTTTGTGAAGAAAAGGGTGAATGTCACCTTAGTAAGATGCAGTCTTGGCAGCTGAATAACTGAACTGAGGTCCATGAGAGACCTACAAATGTTCCACCTACCTGAAGCTTTAAAGGCATTTTGGAAAAGAACCAGAGAAGAGCAATGGCTTTAATGCTGCATTTTTAAAAAATTAAGAAAAAATAGTACACCATCCTAGTTTGCACACAAGAATTACTTTAATTTTCAGTGCCATATGTTTTTTTGAGTTTTAAAGACTACTGGCATTCCAAGGCAATTAGCTGAAGATTGTATTTACATGTAGTCTGCAACACAGATCAGAAGACTTTCCCTCAATATTTGCACATAGTCTTAGTAATAGCTCTAAAATCAGGCAACAAGTAGCTATACTTCTTGGCAGCAAGTGAGCTTTCACAAATTCTACTTTCACTCACTATTTTTGTCATGCAAATTCTGTGCACTGTTCCTCCACAGCCCTGTGTGAAAGCTGGCCAACAATTTTACTGAAGTTCATTCAAAGGACAAGTAGACTGGTGAAAATCCTGTCTTTTCCAGCCCTGGAGGAGCAGGTGTCAGGCCTAGGTGGATGAGTGCTACTTCTTATGAATTAATTGTTGGAGAGGGTGTTCAATGTCCACAACAATGGCTTCTCCCTTCTCCCTGCTCTGCTGGTGAGCTGCTTGTGCTGACCCACCCCTGAATGCCCCTTCTGGCAGCTCTGCCAAGGCTGCACCAGCCAGACACTGCCCTGGGCTATGGATTACATAAAACAGCCAACAGATAAAGACAAAGATGCTTTCTTGCTCAGTGTGGCTATTCTTGTTATTAATTAACACAAATTATTCAAAATACTAAAAGCTTGCTCCATTTTTTTACTTCAAATTTGAACCACTCTGTAAGAGATGTTCCTCACATAACTAAAATACCGTAATTAGAAACTGTGAGAAACTCATATACTTTGTCAAGTGAAAATCCATTTAGAACTTTTTCTTTGGAAATGAGCAGGAGAAATATAAGAAGAGTGGCCTGGTCTTGTTTCCAGAGGACACCTTAATCCTGCCTGCCTGGCTTTTAATGCATCCAGAACTTTGGAGTGTTCAGGGCTCTGAATGGAAAAGGAGGGAAGGCAGCAGCAGGTACCACTGACATGATCCACCTGTAGCAACAACACCAAGGCACTTGCCCCAGATTTTACTGGCCCATGACACAAACCCTGGTGACACAAATGCACTCTACCTGAAGAAGAATCTGAGGAACAAGCCGTTAGAAAGAATGAAACCAAGATTACCTAAAATTGCACTTCTTTTCAGGATTGCAATGACAATTTTACAAGCCTTTCACAGAATATTTATTTAGCTGTTTTAAAATTACATTATCCACGCACAGCCTTAACTGGGAATATTACTTAGGCATATGCCTGACTTCTTTCCCAATTCAGAGTCTAAAACCACAGGCAAAACATTTATTATCCAAATAAATGGATAATTTATCCAACCAAAATCTCACTCCTTTATTTTCTTGTTTACTTTGAGTCAAAACCAACTGCTTTCATAATCATCTATAAAGTACCATAAAGGTACCTTATAGCATTTTATACTTTACCTAAGGCTCACTAACATTTGTCTCCTTTTGCAATTATGTAGTCCTGAATTTCCACATTCCTTGCAGACACATGTTATTTTGGATCATAAAAATATATATTCTAGGAAGCCACCTCAGAAAAATAATCAGGATACATAATCAAATTCTAGATTTTAAAGAGAGTGAATTAGAAAATGAAAGATTGCAAAAATGGCATTTATAAATAGAAAGGCTACATGTAAATACAGCAAGAAATGTGACTTACAAACAAAATACTAACATTCCATTAACCATTTATCTGAGTTGCTCACTTGGAAGCAGATATAATTATTCTTTTATCTTAAACTCCTTGAACTTTACTTTCTCCAAGATGGATTCAAAGAGACAAGATCATGAGCTGCTGGGCAGTAAAGCAAACCTGCCATTCTCTGCAGTTTGTGTCAGACTGCACTGCTCACCCTGCTGTCCATACTGCAAACCTAGACTTAGAGGATGGAAGATAATCACATTTTAAAAAAGGCAAATTATTTCTCCTCAGAACCAAAAAGGAAATGTAACATTGAGTAACAGCTACAAAAACCTTCTCTGAAACAATTTTTCAGCAGCTAAAATAAACATGCCATTCAGAAAAGTACTTTTTGTTGATCACTGACTGCAGAACTGCTATTACTGTTCATCAATCATTTCCACCTACTTTTAAAAGCATCATGATAAGGCCTTTCTCATCAAAGAAATCAAGTGACAACTGTTTGATAAGTCTTTCCCTAGGACAATGTTGACAAGAAGACAGCATGAAGAGGTGAAATTTTAAGTTTGGTGGGTGAAAAATTTAAATATAAAAGCTACAAAAATAGGTGGTGGAAACACAGTTCAGCCAGAACTAAACTCTGCTTTTAGTTTCCTCAGTGTAGTAGCTGGTGGTAATTAACAACTCTGCTCTACCAACAGTGTGCCAGTCCAAGGTAATGACAGTATTTTGCAATTTTGGACCATTCTGGTGCCTTCACAGAGCACCAAAACTTCTGCACTGAAGGGAATTAAGCACTACTACAGGCCAACTGCATTACAGCAGAGCTTGATTCAAAGTCCTCAACTGCTTCATGGCTTGAAAGCTCAGACTGCAAAACATATGTAAAATAGCCCATATATCCAGCCTCCCTTCCTTGCATTGGAAAATTCAGAGGGCAATGGTTTTATAAAGCTTGACAAATATAATTCAGAGAAGCAAGTACTGGGATAAATCTTTGTGTATCCTAAATGCATACTGTAAAGTTGAGAATCCTATCATCTGGGTGCTTATCTGTAGCAGTGTCAAGTCAAAAATAAGCCAAAATGCAGTGTATGACAATCGAGATTGTGACACAAACATAATCTCTGCTCGAGAACTGTCACCCTCTCAAAGACTTCTCAAGACATGCCTGAATAATGAAAATCCTGCCTACCAGGGAGCTGGGAGAGTGCACAAAGGCTGCAGAATATTAAGAGAGTCAAGTACAGACAGTGTTTTACAGGGGCATATCACTAAGAGTAGATTAAGTCTCCTCAAAATCAAATATGAAACTTTCAAACAGCCCTGAATTCACAAATGGATGTGGAGAAGATTCATGACTAGTAAGTATGAATTCTACACTGAACAAGTAATCTGAAATTTAAATAAAGAGTTACCTATGTAACCACATAAACCCATCAATATGACAATGACAATTCTTCCTGTCCAAGGAAACCCCCTCACACCAAACTGGTAGTGTTTTCTAAAGAAGCCAATCAGCTTGTAGGAATTCTCTGAAGTCCTTAAAGGAATTAAAACTCTTGGGGAGAGTTTGGGAATCACTCTTGTGACTGAACAGTCATCGTGTGAAAGAGAACAAAGAAGGGACAAAAGTATGCTCTCATTATTCACAGTAACAACACACAAACTAATTCCAAATGTTGCATAAAAACATTGTAATATTGAACACCTGGGGTTTTATAGCTTTTGAAAAAGCCCCCTCAGTAATCTAAGGGACAGAGAGACTAGAAAAGAAACCATCTGATAAATTCATCTATCACCAAAACCCAGGAAATAAAACTCTCCAACCAATTAGTCAGGTTAAAAGTTGCCATTACTTTATTAGCAGCACTGGATGCATGGGGAATTCTCCCAAGGCATGCATGCTCAATAGCTTAAGAGACCAGGTTATATCCCTGAAACTAATCCACATTCATCACATTTTCTGAATTAGCACATATGCTAATCATTGCCATGGACTGGTTTGGATATGGTTCTGGCTCTTTTGATGAATCTTTTCTCCTCGAGAGTATCTCAAATATGTCATCAAGTCATAATATACTTCTCTTATCCTTCCTTTCTCTAACACACAATCCTTGTTCTCAAAACTAAGATATCAGCCAGTACATATGAATCACTAATACAAGTAAACAAGGAGGCATTAGCTGGCACAAGACTTATTAGTCTCAGACACAGGGAGTTAACACAAGGCCACATTAATCTTTGTACTAAGCACTGTATGGTACAAAACTAAGTGTTAACCGTGAATATGGGGATCGTACACTTTGTGCTAAAGCTAAAAGAATTTTCCAGCATCTCCCCCCAGTGCTGCATAGACTTCTGCTCACAGAAATAAAACGTGTTTGGTAACTTAACTTAAGTGACAGAAATGTTGAAAACCAGTCCTCGCTTCAAGTGTGGAAAGAAACCCCTGAGCTAACCAGTGTCACTCAAGAATGAAGACTTTGCATTATAATAACACATGATTATGGCCCATGAAAAAAAATCAGTCCATTGTTCAGTAGCAGTCAGCCCACTCACCAAGCAAGTAAATGATAGGAACTTTTTGGAACGAAATTCATAAATAAAGAGAATATTATAGAACTATTCTGTAAAAAACATTCTCCCCCTCCTCACGCACTCTGCACTTCTGGTCCATTTTCTCAAAAAGAAGCTGAAAACATTGGACAGTGTTCTGAGAGGGGTAAGAAGGATCCAAGATACAGGACAGCTTCCAATGATATACACAGAAATCTGCAA